TTGGAAGTAAAGCTGTTCTTATTTTGAACCCCGTCATAAGATGTGGGAGATCGGTTAGACGCTCGCCCTGGCTTCTTTGCAGGGAAAGGAACCTCGGTTCTCATTGGATAGGAGGTTGATTGGGCCTCAGAGCCGGTCTCGGAAAACCGGAAGAAACTCAACTCTTATCGAGAATATAATTCCGGTTGTCTAGCCCGTAGTAAGTCACAAAATTTTGGAGATTCTGAAGGAAGTCCTTTTCTTTTTCTCATTCGTTTGCCGTCTTTTGGCCTGTTCAGACTCTGAATTAATTCTGAGATCATTAATCTTTTCTAATCTTTTGACGGGAGATCAACCCCTCACATGGCTTCTGCGGTTACCAGAAAACACTATGGAAACGCGTACCCATATGAGCTTGTTAGCCCATTGGAACTGTACAAATATCAAAATCCTCCACATTCTCCCAAGCCACGACCGCAGTTTACGGACTGTTTGCTTCTGAAGTTAGCCTGTTCCTGCCAGAAAGTGATAGTAACTTGTGCAATAATTTTCTGCTTACGATTCCCAGTAATGTCTCTATAAGTTTAATATTTACACTCCGGATGTCGTGGTGTAGTGATTATCGCTGCGTTTTATTCGGGAGGTCCAAGGCTCGATGATCGACTCTGAGGTCGGCTGTTCAGCGGTATATCATAATGCTTTCTTCAATCCCTTCAGGCAAATTGTGCGACACTGCGTTAAAATAGAAACTGCTTCTTCTGTATCTTGGAGTCAATCGTTTAGAGTCGTAACATTTTAAGAGACTGCTTAGGAGACCTAAACGTAGATGGGAGAATAATGTCAGGCGGGATCTATGGGAGATAGGAGTTGAAGGAGACTGAATTTTGTTGGCCCAGGACAGGGTCCGGTGGAGGGCTTTGGTTAATTCGGTGATGAACCTTCGGGTTCGGTAAGCCATCTAGTTAGTTATCAGCTTAACGTATCCTATTGAAAAAACATAGTTAAAATAAGAAACAGTAAGAAAGCAATAAAACAGTAAGTCTTTACAAGGCAATGATTGGTAAATGCACAACCAGCTTCAACGTGCACTTTGTGTTCTCTTGAGTGTCGGAAGTGAATGCTTTAAACACGAAAATTCTCTGCACGAAGTACACATACTCAATTTATGGAGAAGTTCTGTCCGTCTGTCTAAATGCCCTGATATCCGTTCGTCAACATGCAAATAACAGTTTGGGCCATCAAGTGAGGAAAGGTTTAGGGAAATTTGTTTAGGACTAGGTCAGATCGGAATACACCTTTCCACTGTAGCTTTAAAGTATTTTTGTTGATTCAGAAGTTTCGTTTCTGTGAATTATACCGTCATAATATAGCAGGGAAATAGACATAATCGTCGATGGATTTGTTTCTGTGATGTGGCGTCTGTTTGCCTTGTGCAGAAAGTGCGCTATAAATAATTCTTTCCTCTGGCTGAAGAAACATCGCGATGAACCATGTTGATCACGTGAACACAAGAACATTGTGCTCTTGTCGAAACGTTCATATAAACATGCCAACGTTGTTTTAAGATAAACAGTTGCCTGTGTGGTTATTGCTTGTTTGCTTCACGTCAGATTTCACTTGACCTGTGTAACAATGAAGTAAAAGCAAATAGAATTCTGGTATTGCTTGCCACCATAACACCAATTATCCTTCATCTTCTGTGCCATTTCTCATGAAATAAAGGCTAAATATATAAATATTCTTTTACTTCTTGTTTTACCCGAAAATGAAAATGTTCTCTTATTCTGAAGGAACCACAAAGTTCTAAGAGAATATTTAGATTTAAGAAAGAAGGAAGAACAAGAAGAACAAGGAAATTGCGTAACAAAGAGATTCACAAATTTTGCTTTTCACCAGTTATTGTTGGAGTGGTTATTAGAACACGAATGAAGTCACATACATATGCATGCCCGGTGGTTATAACCCCCAATACTTGTGTTGGGGCGATCCAAGTTACGGTATTTTAAATGTATAAAACTAAATTGAATATAGATCACACACACGATAGCATTCTGTTGAAAGAACATAGTGTTTCTCTGGCTAGGTCGCTTGGAATAAAGAACAAAAAGTTTAATTAAAGCCTTTGAGAGTTGGCAGGGTCACAAGTTGATGTTGCCCTGCGCGTGCGTATCACCTCCATGCCGCCTGACACGTACACCAAGTTAACTGTCCTGCTCGCATCCCGTGGACCGCAGAGTTACAAGATTCTCGTAACACTGTGTGTTCTTTGTTGTTTCATACACCTCTAAAGAAGTGGTGTTCACTCATTTCTTGTGCAATATCAATTTTCAAAGTTAATCGTACTACAAATATCATACCGATTAGTTATAATTATTCTTCCTCGTATTTCCTTAAATATACACCATACACAAAATATATATTATACAGATACCAGTAATAGTAGTAGTAGTAATAAATATTATCTCACAGGACCCAAAATCCCTTAACAGCATTGTTATGGCAACGACACACACACATATTCATAAGCATTATCCCATAATACCAATGTCCCTTAACGGCAAATGATCACCCAAACCAATGAAGTTACGAACACTTGATTATTATGTAGATCTATAATAATTAGTATATATAATTTTCGTTGCAAACATTCTTCAATACGGTGTATATCTGACGAAATATGACATAGGTCGTACATAATTTACGCATATTCTTCAGCTGTCATGCATTAAAGCATTTGGCGTGTTTCTCATCTATTCGGAAAATATTTAATTATTAGCTCAGATCAACAGAGGATTTGTAGCTGCTCAAAATGACAGTAAAGACAGATGAGAATTCAAAATGGCAAACAACGCTCTTGAAAACCGTGTGGATCTCATATTTGCACTCTAATGTCTTGCCAACTCTGATTTTGATGCTTCAGGCCTCCGGGAGCGGTACGGACCAGATGACCACCGAGCGCCAAGCCTGCGGTCTTGGTTCCTTTCTTCCCATGAGTTGCCGTGGTAGAGCCGAGGCTTTTGCCCGTCGCCTTCAAAGTCGCCTACAATCTCTAGGTCGCGCTGGTTCCAGAGACGGCGCCTCCTCTCCAGCCGACGAAAACAGTTGGTTGACAGGACAGCTCGAGGTCACCAGCCACCAACCTCGCCTGAGTTCTTCCTCCGAGTCCGACATTTATTTTGACTTCGACCTTGACTGCGAGAGTCCTGGAAGTCCAATTGAAGAACCTGCACACTCAGAAATTCTTCAAGATTACGCTGTGAACAAAAGCCGAGCCTTCCACTGTCCACCAAAGACACAATACTCTTCTGAATCTGGCTGTGTGTCATCATCCACAGTAACCGGCACATCACCAGACAGTGATAGTTCAGATGGGCTTTATTATGACCCGGAGAATTTAGATTCAGAGGTTGCCAGCAACCATCAGAATCGTAAACACGAGTTCAAGCATGATTCATCTCAGGAGATTGGTACAGGGGAATACAGTCATAATAGAGTTCCACACACAGAAACCAACCTAAATGTTACGATGAATGGTCACATTCTGGGTCTGAAACAAGAGTCCTCAAGCCCAGATGAAGAACACAGGCGTGTTGGAAAACGCAATTTTAGGAACGCAGCTGGTTTCAGAGTCAGTAGAAGAGACAAACCATTACTAGTACCGAGTGAAAGTGATATGAAACCAATCTCCATGAATGATTTGGGTTCCTTATCCAGTGAAGGTTCTATTGCTGATGAATATTTTGAGTGCATATCGTCCAAACCAGAAGAGTGTTTGTCTGACTATTTGAAGTGTTCACATGATAGTGGATACCCAAACACAGCAGAGTCTTCCAGGTGCAATTCACAAAATGAAAGCCATGAAAATGAAACAAATGATTGTGGCTCGCATCAAGATAAAGAATGCAGCTCTGTTCAAAACTGTTATGTGTCAAATGGAACTTCGGACTCTCTCCCTCAAAGGCCTAACGAAATTTCTTCGGAGACTGAACATTCTCAGATATTGTCTCATCCTGATATTCCTAAAATGCCCAATAGCAATGAACCTCGATCCACAGTATCCAGCGATGATGAAGTCAAGTCTGATATGGAATCTCTCAATGCAAGATCCACAGATTTTCCTGGGAACTCAAATGATGATTGTAGCAGTTCCCTGTCAGAATCTTTGTACACCTCAACCCTTATCCGGCCTAGCAAACTTACCATCGAATGCCCAATTGATCTCGTAAAATTTGATATATCGGAACACAAGGAATCCACAGAACCATCAGATAAGAAGATGGATGACGATGACGATGACGACGATGTAAACAGACCAACTCCTCGAGTTCGGCGCTGTTCCTCCCTCAAGTCAGGGAAGACCCCTCCAGGCACACCGGGACGCAAGAAGATCGTTCGGTTTGCAGACGTACTGGGTCTGGATCTTGCCGATGTCCGAACTTTCTTAGATGAGATTCCCAAAGTCCCACGTTCGGCCTATGAAGATCTTCAGTGTGCTGAATTGTCAGACAATGCTGCTTCATCACTGAGAGATGGGATTTTGAGTGACGTTCTGGTGCCAGTATGTATGAGTGGGGCCATGAAACCAGACCGTTGTCTGATTCCTTTGTTTCAGCAACCAGGAGGACAGCTTGACTTCATGGACCGTGTCAGAGACGATTTTGTCTGTCTGGAGAACGCTGTGGTCACTGATCCTGTCTCGTATTGCATTTCAGGGACTGTCAGAGTGCGAAATCTGGACTTTCACAAGAGTGTTCACGTAAGGTATACTTTAGATGGATGGAAGACATTCGCTGATCTGCAAGCCACGTATGGTACAAACTCTTGTGATGGTTTCTCTGACAAGTTTAGCTTTATCTTGTACGCTCATACAGTTCAAGTAGGGCAGCGCCTGGAATTTGCCATAAGGTTTCAATGTAGAGGTGGGCAGTACTGGGACAGCAACCGGGGCGCGAACTATGCTTTCCAGGGTCTGCCGTCTGCTGATCATACTTCCTATCTGGCCCTGACCATGCCAATGCCCATGCCCATGTCTGTCAGTCCAGACGATAATATTTCCTCCTCCTTCTACTAAACAGCAATACATTTAACCCTCATAGTGCCAGTATCCATTAAATGGACTGTAAAATGTTGCTTAAAATGTACAAATTTATTAGATCGATCGTCAAAGTCAGATATATCGACCATTTTATATTACTACACGCAACTATACATGAGGGAAAAAGCGAAATCTACAACAGCTGCTGTGGTGAATTTAAGTGTTTAATTCTTGAATAGTTCAAAATTAATACATTCAATTAAAGTGAACATTTTAAAGCAGATTAAAATTCTGTGTAAAGTCTACAATGTTGGAGGCTGGCACTGAAGGGGTAGAAAAACTTAACCACGGCTATTTCGATGGTATTATTGGAGATTTCGAGTGATAGACGCAAAGTGGTACATGCTCAACTTGTTAAATGCCATTTGTACGGCTTTCTGGGACGGTTAATTTTGAGGATGGCAATTTTGTTTGCTGTTTATAATTTTCAATTGGAGCTGTTTCATATTTTAAGCACGATCCATGTTGCTGTGGTGAATACTTTGCCATATCTTGTTTCTAACTTCTTCTCAAATGACCTGGTTATTCGGGACTTAACACAGTTAATGTCAAATCGTAATTCATTTTAAAAGAAAGTTAATCAATTTCTTGTCGCCCATTAGAAAGTTCCAAAATTTAATCTTACACTTCGGACAGGCTTACTACTTACCTTCATACGTAATCGAGGTTAAGAATGTATGGAACCATGGCGTCTTCTTTCGGGTGTGGAATGTCCTCTTACATACACCTGGAAAATGAAATTGTTTTTCGTTCCACAGCTTGTTGCATGACCGTGTAGGTATTTGCAGCCAGAGATAAAGTTTGTGAACTCAATATAATTATTTGTTTCTCCATTCTTTTTCTGAACGAGTTAACCGCGGCGGCACCTAAAGAATGAATTATTATAAAATGGTACAATGGAGATGCTGGAAACCTTTGGTGTCGACAAGTTGTGGTTAAGTTTTTTTAAAATTAAATAAAAGCTACGTAATACTGTACACATAACGATATTTTATAGGTACTTTTAACTATATTGTGTGTACGTATATTTCTGTATTCTTATTTCTACGTTCTCGTGTTTGTATAGTGATAAAGAATATAACAATTATACTACAAAAATCAATATTTTAAAAAGTATTGTCAAGAGATACTTCTTTATTTTTAAGAGATTAAATCTGTTTCTTGAAGTAGGATAATGCAAACCCTGTTTTAGATTTTCTGTGTTATCAACAGTGTTATCAAAATTTGGATATATTTATCGTAAAGGTCTCGTGTTGTATTATCAACGTCATTACAACCCTCAGTTTCATTGGTTCTCGTCGTCGGAGCTTTTTAAATTATATACCAGTAATAAGACGTGTCATCTAATAGTAACAGAGACTCTTGTAATTCGGTATCTATACACCACTGATTCAAATACTGGGTGGAATAATGGCATTTGGTGTATTTATGGTGTACTCGCATTATTATACTTCACTTTTGAAACTTGTTCCTATATTACAGATGTTTTAAAGCTTAACAGTTTAAAGACGTTGTTAATTTTATGGTATACTAATTATTGCATACAATAGAGCACAATAGTGTTAAATTCAAAAGTTCTGATGGGCTAAGTGAACGGAGAAGATTTCAAAGTGAATGAAAACTATGGACATACGAGATTGTATTATTGTCATATCCTTCCAATTTGGTATGAAATATTGTGCATCAACGTTATGGATGTGTTATTATCCATCTAGATTTGAAATAATACTATGTAATAGATTTTATCTGAAAAAGAAACTGTACTTGTGTTTATGGATATTTCTCTCAGATTGTCATGGCACAAATTTTACTTTAGAATATTGACATTTATGGGGGGATGTCGGTATAAAAAGTAAATGAATTCCTAGTTTATAGTTTAATGAAGTTTTCAGTACTGTTGATAATGATGGTCATCCTAAACGTATTTCAGTATTATTGTGAAATATGTCGTCCAAATGGTTCAAAAGTTATTACATACGTTCAGACATATACACGAATATGATGTCGTAGATCTTACATTAAGCGATTCTCTATGAAGAGGAGACCTCTTGAGAAGCTGATAGTCGCTTAACTGATAAATAAATTCCCCATCTTCTATGGAACCCCATGATTAATTACTGCGCTCAAAATAGCTAACAACTGGTTCCTTTCCTAAATCAGTAGGGCCAGTGTTTCCCACAACACTTGTATTCCTTTAAGAGGAAACACAGCAAGCAGTATTTCTGGTGAACCTACCCCTTGGTTTTCAGGGGTCTGTAGCAAGCCTTATCTCTGGCACGCCGAGTACAAGTATAGCCGGGCGCCTACTAACCCGCGTGTCTCGAGCGCCGGGTCTCTGGCAAATCGGGTCAATGACCATTCCTGTCACTCGCAAGCCTTCTGTATGGCATGCCGTGTCTCAGGCCTGCAGTAAGACCGGTCTGAAGGGACACAGGCCTTCCGGAACATCATCCTGCCTGGACACCGGCCTGAAGGGAAGCCGGGCTGCCGGCCCATTGGAACACTATCCTTCCTGTGCCTAGGCCTGCCGGGACAAAAAATGTTTAAGTCAAAATATTTACAGAATTTTCAAAAATTGATTCTTCAAAACATTACAAAAAACTTAAACATTTCTGACAAATTTGTCAATTTTTTATATTTTTTAATTAAAAATACAAAAAACAATTTTTTAAACATTTTGAAGAATTATTTTATGCCATGTAATTTTTAAAAAAGTTACGATTTTTTAAAAATTTGAAAAGTTTTGAATTTTCAAAACTTATGTCCCGGCAGGCCTATTTGGTATTCCAAAGGGCAGGAGTGTCTGATATACTGTAAATTCAGCAAAAACATTCCCTCGCAAGACAAGACCCTCAAAGCCGAGTCCCTGGCCTGTCAAATCATGGGCAGGACGAATCTTTGGCATGCTGGAAAACTTGTCAAACGTGTGTGTAGCAAGCAATGTATTTAGTAAGAAGACTTCTTGGTATGCAGCGGTCTCTGGCAAGCCGCATCAGTGGCACGCTCTCAGAGTAACTGGGCATGACAAGCAGCGTGTTTCAACCTAGCCTGGACACAGACCTGCC